CGGCAGGATCGTAGATCGAGGGCTACGATTCATAGTTTTTATTTATGTGTTTTAGTGCATTTCTTTTATTTATTTTTCAGTTTTCCATTTATACCCCTATGAGGGATTTGTGTCATGTTGTAGCTGAGGATATTTGTGTCTTTTACCTTTTGTGCTTTGGAGACCTATATAAGAAGGCCTAGTCTTTGTATTATTTTTGAATGATGAATTGTTAATGAAATTTTATTCTACTTGTTTGATCTCTTAGTGAGCTAATGAGAGGAGAATGATCTCTTTGTGAGTTCCAAGATTCCCAAGATCTCTTTGTGAGTTCTTGAGGAGGAGATACTTGAGGTGCGTAGCTTCCTTGATTTTTCCAAGTCTTTCTCTTATTTTTCTTGGCCTTAATTTTCCCCTCCACAAAATTCCCCTTGCCGCCCGGCCTCCTTGGGCCGCCCAAGCCGCCGGCCACCGCCCATCTACCCCCATTCCCATCTCCCCTCTCTCTCTATGGCCGGCCCCTCTCCATGAGCTTTCTCTCTCCAATTTCATTAATAGCCCCCCTCATTAAACCTCCCTAATTACCTCACACAATTCCCTCTCATCTAAGTTAATTCCCTCAATTAGAATTTGAATTTTAAATTCAAATTCTTCCCGCCAATTCCACTTAATCTGAAATTAATTTCAGATTTTTATTCTCTCTCTCCCCAAATTGATTTGGGATTTAATTAATCTTGCCACCTATGCAAGTAAATTAATCTCAAGACTATTTCTCATTGTTATTCCCAAATTTTCCTGCTATACTCTTTCAATTTTTGCATCCAGAAAGCTGGAACGCAGCAGTTCTTCATGCCAAACTACTGTCCATAATTTTTCTAGACAGATTTTATGCACTGTCCTGAGATCCGATCACCCCTAGAGCTGCTGCCAAGGTTCGTAAGGTCAAGCGTGCTGTCCAAACTTTCGTACCAGCTGTCTGAGGTTTTGGTTCGCTGTCCAGGGAAGTCTGCACATGTTTTCTTGTTGTCCCGCCATTTGGAAGGACTTCAACGCTGCCCGGACGTTCTAGGTTGCTGATCACACGTTCCGGAAGGTTCTTAGATGCCACCTACTTCCTCCCAAGCCTTCCTACAGCCGCGGGAACTAGGCACCGTCGAAGAATACGTGGAGCGTATTCTCTATACTTTGGCGGACGTCATCGAAGAGCATCAACCTACAGAATCGTGGAAGATCGCAAGACGACCACCCGTCTCTCCAACTCCGGCCAACTCTCCGTTGATCAGAACCTCTGGCATCCTCTGTCTTGCAGTGGCATCACTAGGCTTGCTAACTTTTGTACTCCGCTAAACCTACTTCCAAAGAATGATCGAGAAGGAAACTCTAAGGTGAAAGTTCTAATTGTTAAGTGGTGGATTATTGTTAATCGCATATTTGTTTACTATCTTCTTGCCATTATTTCGAATCGCTCTGTTAATCTAACGTGTAACCGCATGCTAGAATCAAGTCCATAACTACGAAAACTGTAAATCCTAACTTAGTGAATCATTAATGTTATAATTTCATTGCGGAAATAAATTTCTTAATAAGATCCTGCAATTCCGTTGTTTGTTTCACATTAATGGGCATCTTTAACTTCCTCACTCTCGGATCACCTCCGTTTCCCTTGAATTCTCCATAACTTCCCATTCCACGAAGGGGTGGTCCTCCACATGTGTCTCGATCATCCTTTCTGCACTCGTACCCAAACCCCGCTTCAAAATCATCTCTCCTTCTATCCCCATCCACACCCCTACGCTCAAAATCAGCCCATCGTCTTGCAAAATTAATGCTCATCCTTTCATACTTACTACTCAACTCCTCCCGAGAAATAGGTTCTAGGGGAGGCATTCCATCTTTCCCCTCCAAAATCTCCACCTCTTGATTTTCCCTCTCCTTAGTGGATTAGGGTTTCAACCACTCCCTTGACCGCCGTTAGCACCCTTTGCCTCTGATATTGTCGTTTTGGGTTAGGCCTCAAGCAGCTTCCTTAACATTTCTTCCACGATGGCAAACTTCTCATCCATCTTCTCATGGACAGCTAAAAACTGATTTTTAAATTCAAAAATTTTCTACATAAAATATACTTTTAATTGTCCCATTTCTCCTTCCAATGCTTCCACTTTCCTCCCGGACATATATACCACGAATTGATACTTTGATACTAATTTGATAGGAAACAGATGTTGTTATTGCAAAATCAACGGACAAAACCAATAAATTGGGAAGAAAACTCACAAAAAACTTTTATTGAAAAGTTTTCAATGCAAAGAAAAATAAGATATAATAGGATCCTCAATTGGAGAGGAGGATCTGGCTCTCCCAAATCTCTAGCCGTCGGCTAGAGCCCAAACACCTAAGATAACTCTAAGTTCAGCAAAACAAGCGATGCCCTAACCCTCCCAAAATTTCCCCTTAAAGCATACAATTCAAAAGGAATCCCAAAACAACCCTTTGAAATTTTCCACTCAAAACACATTCAAAGCTTAGTTTGAAACGGCTGTAGAGGGGGGTTTCCCCTTAAAGCATACAATTCAAAAGGAATCCCAAAACAACCCTTTGAAATTTTCCACTCAAAACACATTCAAAGCTTAGTTTGAAACGGCTGTAGAGGGGGGCATAGCGACCACGGAGGCAAAACCTCTGTTCCGACCGGTCCAGTGACCGGTCCAACAATATCCTTCATCAAGGCCCTATATATAATATTTCTTATATGTTAAATGAAACCATTATCTTAAATGAATTTCTTTAGGTTCAAATCCAAATCAACTCAAGTAGTAATTAGAAAAAGGGACCTAGCAATTCTATGAAAGCGTTAACCAAGAAATGAATACAATGAACCACAAAATAACACCAATGAAATCAAGCATCATAGAAAAGAAGGCGCAAAACAAAAGAACACCAAAACTTATGTTGGCTTCAATGAGCCTACTTCCATAGAAGTGAAGCAAGAATTACAAGCCATCCTCCTATCACATCTTTCTAGAACAAAACCATTTAAATTTTATTTAAAGCTGCTCCAATACTACAACCAATCAAATAATAGATAATCATAATATATAACTCTTATCATTAATTGAATACAATAACTTGAATGTAGTTAAATTACATATTTTAAGTCTGTGTATATTCAAAAAAAATATAGAATTAAAATCCTAACAAAATTTCCTCTTCACTCAATGGTGCAGCATAGATTTAAATAACCATTGTGACTCATTTCCAAGTCAAGAACTTTGCGTCCCTAAAACTCCAAATGACTAAATACCACACAATCTCATAAAACTGAGAGAGCATCCAAACTAAAGAAATGCAAGAGACCTCCAAAGCATATTGTTGCACACAGTAGTGGCTCCACTACTACTGAATGTGAACCTGCCACTAAATTTTAGTTTTTACAAATTGATTATCTCATCACTGAGAATGCTGCAATGAAACATCTTGTCATGGGGGCATACTTTACAAAACATGACCGATTCTTATGATAGTATCTAAAAATCTCCCTTAAGTCTGTCCCTTCTTTTTGGTCTATAACATCTCATACAATTAAGAGCTAAACCTTTTCCACTTCCTCAAAGCATGGTTCCACGGTAAAGTTGATGAATCAAAACAACACTACTCAAAGTTGCAACTTCCATGTCTGCAACATATATTCTATCAATTATTTTCTCCATCATAACCAAAGAACCTTTAAAAACCTAAAGTGTTTAAACATCTCCAAATAATATGTATCATGCATCACAAAGAGCATTCAAAAATATCAGATTCTTCCACAGATTTTTTTGCAAACAATGTTATAATCATACCATCATGTACCCTTAATTTCATAGTGCTAGAAGCCTAGAACCAATCATCTCAACTGTCGCATTGCTTTCGATAGACATAGACACCAAAGCAGGGCTCATAAAGAAAAATAAATAAATAAATCCTTATTGGTACTAATTAGGACACATAGGAAGAACAAGCTGAAACAAAAATCAACTGCGCTTTGCATCTATTTTCATCAGTCACTACTAGAGCAACACTTATATATGAATCAGAACAATATGCAACAACACCAGCATTGACTAGCTTGCCCTCTTATGGTGGTCATCTGCTTGTGCTCCTTCCTTTTTAAAGAATGATAATCTTTCTCAGTATCTCATTTCTTCTTACAATAACAATAAATAATATCCTTGAGCCTATAGCTTTACTTGTTGTCCACCAAAAAAGAGAAGGTCCCAACCCCACAAATAAAAGAAAGATATTTGTTTTTCTCTTTAAGAAAATATATTCTATATCAAAAGTTAAGGATCAATCAAATGATTCTAAGCAATCTTAGTAGATTAATAACAAAACATTCAATCTTCATTCAAATCAAATGAAAAAAATTACCTTATTTAGTTCTAGATTGTGAAAACCATCCTCAAAGAAAAGTTAGACCACCTGATTGGCCCTAGAAAATTCCACAATAAATTACCTATTTTTAATTGTGTGTATGTCATAAAAGATTATTGAGTCAAAATGTTAATAGTTAGAAGGGACTGGTACTATAAACATAAAGATTTTGAAATATACTAGTGTCATATTGCAGGCATCAATGGTTAGAGCTCATTCTTTTCCAATGTTTTATATAGTACTGGTTAGTTGTTTGATAACTTACAAAATACTTTCATTTAAATGATTTGCCAGTTCTTGAATTTTATGTCAATTAAGCAGAATGCTTGATAATCACTGATTAAATTTAACAAGATGAAGTAACTTACGAAGTTTCAAAAGCAAAATCAAAGTGGCTATAAAGAATGTATCAAGCGGTCTGAAAAATATTAAAATCCAAGTCAAAACTGAGATAAAACTACCAATGCAACTCATAATCAAACATTCTTGCAATGGTAAAATGAATATTTTCATTCATATAATTCAGTAAAATTAATTTAACATATTAAGCAGGCCAAAAATGCAAGTCTTATTTTCCATCTAAAAGATGAATAAGGAATAGTGGAGCGTACCGCACCAGGTGTCCAATGAACTGATTTAAGCTCATTACGTTCAAGAATGCTTCTGATAAATTAATTAAGGAAGCACTGAAAGAAAGTTTGCAAAAACCTCTACAAGAGATCAAAAACTAAGAATAAACATAATCTTCCACATGAGGCTTCTAGCATTATGTTTATGCAAAGGTGGCCCTTAAATTGTATGATGTTACTCATGACAAATGAAAATGACAGTCTCGAGAAACAAATTGCGATGTATTTCATTTGATTGGAAGTATCAATGAATAATGATATGCATCAAACTTGGCATCCATATTGTAAACCAATTCTGATGAAAAGCTGTTAAACATACATTTCATCCATACAAGATGAACTTTTGCTGTCAATTCATATAATTCTTTCATTACCAAAATACAAAAAAAAAAACTTGCATACTAGTATTCTAATGCAACTATGGATTTGTCGTTATGAAAAAGCTCAAGCATACACATAAATGGTTTTGAGGTTAATTATATGTAATGTGCTTCACAGGATACATTTGACAAGCACTAATAATAGCTCCAAAAATGCCAAGCATTGCCATCAGCTCAGTTCGGTCCCCAGTCTTGACTAGAAACTCCTGAAAAAAAAATAAAGATGAAGGTATAGAAAAAATTAAGACGCATCATGAACCCATGTCTCACTAAAAATGAACACAACATAACATCTCCAACTATTCAAGGCAATTGGTAACTCATCAAAGGATTTATTTAAGTATTCAAAATTCTTGAGGAAATCTTCAGATTCACAAAAATAATTACACTATATATTTATTCAAATTCTCATCCAGATTCCAACAGCTAACATAATGGCAAATATTGTGAAATTTGAACTACTTAATGTAACAGATTACCAAACAGCTCATTATCCTCAAACAATTACATTTCTTCTGTTTATATTCACTTACATGCTTCACTACTCTATTCATAGAATTGAAAGCCTAAATATCCATATTATAAGAATGAAATTTTACATTCTTCATTATAAGTGAGATCAGAATAGATTGTTTTCTAAGATGCTAACTGCGCCAAACACAGACTACCATATGATAGGCAAAAGTCCTTTCACAAACATTTGGCATTAAATCATAAATATCTTTGTAATGAGCATAGTGAATTCTATGAAGGTAGCAAGTGAAACGAGAATACATTACCTCACTAACATTGCTAACTGCATAAAGCATAGATCCAAAAACAACAAGCAAATCTCCTTTCACAGGATTGCTTCCAGCTGCAGCAAAAAACATAAGAAAAGAGTCATTACTCGTATTACAATAATATCAACAATGAGGATTATATAGAAATTATTGATCAAGAAAAAAATGGAATTTTTTTGCATGTAAATATAAAATGTGGGAAATAATGCAAACGTGCTTTTGATTTGAATCTTTTTTGCTTCTAAATAGATTTATCATGGGCATTATGAATTCTTGCAATTTTTTCCTATCATTTTTTTCTATGTATGCTTTTCTAATGTTTGTAGAATGTCCACTATACATGTTCTATGAAGAGACCATATAGCTAGCTGCTTACTGAGTAGTGTTGTACTTCTTAATCAGAGTCTCCTGAAGAACAAAATAATCTACTATGTTGTGCTACGATTTACAAAATGAACAAACATTTAAGCAGATTTTGGTATGCATTGAATAAAGAATGAGATGCATCTTTTTCTTTATCAAATACAAACAAAAAAGCAAGGAAGTTACTTCATCATATCAGTGAACTTGAGAGCAAGACTTGGTGACGACAAATAGCAGCAGACCAACGTGACTCAAAGGTAAATATGAACTTATAAAACAATGTGAAAATATAAATTATCATCGTTAAACCTTATATCCACCCACTCTACCTGTCCTATCAGAAGCGTGGACATCAGAGAACACAACTAAAGCAAGGCCAGCAATGCAAATGGCCACACCAGAAAATTTCTTGATTTTGTATTTGGTCTTCAAGAATATCCATGTAAGAAATATAACAGATGGAATTGTCCAACAGTCCAACAACATGACACTTGTTAAAGATGTATACTGGTAAGCCTTCACCACTACATACAAAAATAATTGTTAAGCATTTTTCTGAGAAGAAAAGCTATTCAAAGTAAAAGTCTGGAGAAAATAACTTATGCAACCTGATGAAAAGATAAGGTTGTAAAAGGTTAATTTAGAGAGCCAATGAATTCAGAATACAAACATTCAGTACATGATGTCAAAAATTAGAACTACCAAGCATGAAATTTTAAAAAATAATAATAAATGATGGAAATCCACCCAATCAAAAGATTCAATATTAACAACTCATTCAAGATGGCTATTATTCTTAATTCATACATAAAATCTTTAATCCTGAAAAAGTAAGCAAAAAAAAAAATTCATTACGCGTGAGAAGAAGCACTCACCGAGGAAATTAGCCTCAACATCAATAAAGCCTAGCAACAAATAGAAATACCATTTCGTCTGAAATAAAGACAAAATATATGTTTGTTAGCATAGAATTGCAAGATTAAGCATTATAAAAACAAAGAAGAATTTCAATAATCCATAGTAGCAAGCCCGCTAGGTAAAGGCGTCAAAGTGAGGGACCACAGAACATCAATTCGCAAAAATTAAGCTTATACTAATATGATAAATGAAAAGAACTACAATAGGGGTGGGGGGTATACTAACTATTATAGTGCACTACCAAAAGAAGAAATATTCATAACTTTATATCCAAAAATTAAAAATCAAGAACACAAAGTAAAACAATAAAGACGCACATCCCAAATGGCAAGAGGGTTAATTATTTTATACTTTAACATATCAATTATCTCCTAAAGTTTATTCATATAGAAAAAAAAAGCTCCACAACTAGTGGTAATTTATTTATAAGAACCAATTGGATTCACTTTTACCAATTACACTAAAAAACAATGATGTAAAGACAACATATGCATAATTGAGGGGCAACAATTTGTCTTCAGTGATACCAACTTACAATTTCAAATGAAATTTCAACTCTATTTTTCAGCAAGCATCCAGAAAAATTAAGATTTGACTTTGATATCATGTTGTAGCTAGGAGAGTCTGGTAAACATAGTTAGTCTTAACAATTGAAATGGCCGAAATAACATTAAAATGGCATTGCAATTTGTAAATTTGTAAGCAAAAAAACCCAAAAAACCATCTACGGCAGATATATATTCAACAATTGAAACCAAATTGATAACTACTTGAAATTTAACCAACTCAAAACTAAAATTTTATATGTTTTAAGTCTTAGACTTAAGATAGGTTGTTTGAAATTCTTTCACTTTATCTATCTATCTATATATATATATATATATAGAGAGAGAGAGAGAGAGAGTTTCTCCTCCTAATGTTATGCGTGCCTATCATCTTGAAGATTGAAATTAAGTATTTAATGATATAGTGACTCACAAGCATGTAAAAAAAACAAGAATGGTCCATAGAATCCCAAATAAAAATTTTGGTTATACTCAAATTTGATCATTTAAAGTAAAATATAATTTATTTAGACTCAAGGCTAGCTCGCTTGAACTCAACCAACACACACTCCTACCATCTACACAGCAAACTAAAAATAAGTTCTCTGTCTCATGGCTTTTATTTGATGCTACTTTCTATTGGTATGACAAATACTATAGTAGGTCCAACTTGATGTCCAACGAGCAACATAAAACGCCACAATCCTTACACAGTAAACACTAGAAAACATCGAACTATTAAAATCATGAACAGCAATACCTGAAGCGATCTCTTCTTGTAGATCATCCAACCCCCATAAACCACCGCCAGCAGCACATAATTCAAGAATGACTGCGATGTCGGAGCATCGATTCCTATATCCAAAGGACGCCCCAGTTAAAAAAAAAAAAAAATTCATAAACCAGCAAACACAATCGAAATCTCACACCTTTTCTAGACAGCTCGGAGGAAGCAAATCCGGTCGAGGTGATCAGGAGTGAGACGAACTGCCCTAACCCCAAACCAATCAACCTCTTCTTGGATAAGAACTTGTTCAATGCCACCATCTTTGCCCTATAATAATTGAGAATAACTCACTCCACTCTCTCTTCATTCCATGGCTTCTCTAGCCTATATCAGTGAAGAGGACGATACGCGGCGATCATTAAACTTTACCTCTGACGATTCGGTCGGCTGCAGAGGGGATTCGAACTCGAAAAGTAAAGGCTTGGGATTCGAGAGACTTTGAGCCGTTTAAATTGGGAATAATAGGGACGTTGGGGCCAGCTGTTTCGTGCCGCATCTCTGTTTTTCAAGTACGGCGTAGGGTTTGCGTTTAATTTTGGAACTCTCCCTCTGGAATGAATGCAGAAGCGAGAGAGATGCTGAGAGAAAAAGTTCGGAATTTCGGATGCCATCAATCACTAACGGATTATTCTCGTTGACTCGTCAAATACAACAAAATAGAAAAAATAAAAATATTTTTTTCCAAAAAAAATAAAAGAAAACAAAATATTGATATTTAACTATAACAATATTGAATCGAACAATAATTGGTGAAAGAATTTGGATCATAATGATTAAAATAGAATATTATTTTTTAATTATAAAGTTGAATCATATAATAAGTTCTTATTCAGCTTATTCGTCATAAAAAATAATTAAATATAAATAAAATTTTTAAATTTTTTTTATGAAGATTTGAACGCAAGTTGTATATATATATATATATATGTGTGTGTAATAGTTAATTTCTCGAGGAAATATATTCAAAATTTTGATTCAAATCAAAATATTTCCAGAATTTAAATAAAGCTCAATCATTGTATAAGCAATATTTTGAGCAAAATGTTTTTTGATCCATCCAATTCATGGAAAAATTGTTCTATGCAGATACTAGATGGAATCCGAAAACAAACAAGAATACAGCTTGTCACTTTTTTGCTCGGTATCGGTGCTCTGTTTCGCTGTGTATCTAGCGACGTGGTGCGTCCTGGTTGGTCTTCAGACCGTCTAGTGCCCTCACAGAATAATTTCTCCAATACATGAAATTTTTTGCTTTTCAGATGATTCCACACAGAATAATTTCTCCAATTCATGAAATTGTCTGCTTTTCAGATAATTCTTATTTGTAAGTAATAGTTTTAAGGTGGAGCTCTGTGTAACAATTTAATCTGGATCTTTAACTAGCTTATATTTATCATTGAAGGTAAGTAATGTTTTATATTTTGCAAAGTCTTCATCTCCTATGATGTTATATGTTTGAAAAAAAACAATATAGAAAATTGGGAATTTATATACATATCATAAATTTTTTAGGTATTTATATATTTAATATTTATTTGTATAAAAGCTAAATTTTAAAATAATATATTTGATGCAATTTATAAACTAAAATTATATACGAATAAATATGAAAATTTAGCAGAAAAAAATTGGTGATACGAAGGGATTCGATCTCCTGTCTTCCTGCCTCCGAGTTGCCATGGGAAGCGCGTTACTCTCGCTTCATCTATCTTTTCATCTATTAGCTGAAGTTTGCTTGTAGATCTACTTCTCGTTCCCTTACCAGCGTTCAACCACCCATGGAGGTATTCTAATCTTCAATCTTCGTCTTCTTTGTTCGATTTATTTCGTTTTCAAAACCTTTCCTGTCTTCCAATTTCTTTATTAATCCGTTATATTCTTCATTTCCATGCTTATTAATTTTCCTTCGTCTTTCTCATTTTCCCGGGAGAAAGGTTGCATTTTGATGAGTTCGTGATATTTTGATCAGGAGGCGAAAATCAAATCCAGGATTACAAAATTGTTTTAGATTCATTTTAGGGGAGGTTTCGTTGGAATTATAGGCAATTTATTTTCTTGCGCGGTGGGGCTGACCCAGAAGAGTTCCCATGGACTATTCTTTTAGGGCTGTATCATGCAGATTATTCCAACCAAGCAGAATATTATCTTCATTAGGGTTGTTTTACTTTGTTTCCTATTTAACCACCGAGCCTTGATGTATATGACTAGAACATTACTTCTGGCCAAAATTGTGAGCCCTCCTATTCGCTACTTTGTCATATACTCATTTCAATAGATTTTGTAAGGTCGACTCAAGTGAACTAACTAATTGGAGAGAATATTATGCAAGTACAGAGTTTTTCGTTATGCAGTTTGATAGAGCAAGCCATGGCTTTATCAGAATATATGAAAAAAAGTTAAATCTTGAAACACAGCTAAGTAATGATCTTCTCCAAAGTGATGCGCCTTTAATGTCATTCCAAAGATCACACTAACAAGATAATCTTGGCATGAAAAAACAACATATAAATGATGAGTAATAAATTCAATTGGTAGTGCCAAACGTAAGAACACCAATCATCACAAAGGTAAGTCTAATATGGCCAACAACTCAATTAGAACATTATAATACAAGTATTATATTCTAGATTGAATTATGATGATCATCAATAGAGCTTAGCCAATCATGATGCAAGAAAAGTATATTTCAATGGGATTTATGCATCATTAGTAACAATAATAACAAGTCTCGACAATTATCAATTTATAAGTCATGGCATTAGAATAAGTAAATTATTATAATCAGTCAACATTAAATGTTGTACTAGTAATTTGTAGGCATGCTCAGCTAGAGTCAGCAATAGTCAGTTAATCACTTTACGGTGAACCTGTCGGTTCCAATAGAGACCAGAAGGTCTCGACATGTGGATGAACCAATTGATCCATGCATAAAAAATGAACGCTACTCACATGCTAGCAAGCCATGTTAGTCATACAAATCACAAGTACCAATATCTCTTGAATTAATAATATCTCAATATAGTTGCTACCAAGTATACAATCTCATGCATAACAATAGAGATGCTTACAACATGCTCAGCTGGTGATATATGAGGTATATAAATTGAATGAAAATAGTTCAAATACAAATAGCAATTCACTATCAAGATGTCAATATTTATATGATAATAACAATTATGTGAACATTAAATCAAACTAAGAATGCAGATATGTCTTGGAAACAGTATGCATGCAAGAAAATTTATTTATATCAAGTTTGGGACAGCCTATATGCCACACCTTCCCAAAGAGATTTTGAAAACTTGAACAACATCACAGTAGGATGGGACAAAGGCTTCAGTTTACAAATAAAATTTATCACTTTCATACTCACAAGTTGCCTTTAGATTCAACAATTTATCTTCATCATAATCAGCCTCATCCTAACTATTTGGAATTGGCTTTATTTATCAATGTTTTTCATTTATTTCTATTGATTAATAAATGAGATGTTAAACATATTATTCTCAAATTATTTTGAACTTCTACTCATGTTACCTTATGTATACCCCTTCTCATTCCTAAATCTCTTATATTAAAATTTTCTGCCTATATAATGAGTGCATTTTTTTTATCCTTCATTGTACAAGTTCACACCACCTAAGGCTATTTTCAATCACCTTATCTTTAATAGATATTACTTCAATTATTCTTTTAATATTATTATCAAATGGTAATTTATTCTCTCTAGATTTGCCACCATCCATTTTTATGTTATCAGTTTTGTCAATATCAACTAAGCTATTAATTACTTTTTTTACGGATTAACAATTGGATTCACATAATATGGTCAACCTAATTATGGTTTTATAAAATTTACTATTAAAACTTTATGAAATTCTCTTATCACAGAATATTCATGAGGCATTTTCCATTTTATCCACCAGTCTTAGCTCTACTTGATATATATTCATCTATGTTCTAATTCTTTTGTATAATAGAATTAAGATACTCAAATCTATCACAACTAGGTATCACTTTATCTTCTAATAATATTGATTTATAATTTTTAGTGCCCCATCTAATAAAATTGACTATCATATACCTACTCTTTTTATGGTAATGCTAATCCTTCTATCTTATAAATATGTCATTCATTGTTTTAACTTTGCATTTATTTCAACGGATGCATCATCAATTATAACTAGCAAAAATGTACACCAAAAAACTTATTTTAAATATTCTTGTTTAGCATCTCTATAACAATATAAAAATTTTTCTGTCATTAAACCAATTTTATTCTTAGAAGTAATGTAATTTTTAAATTTATGTTTTATCATTCTCTCCTATTGTTTCTTTGTATGACTCATAAGTTTAATTTCTCTATAATCAGTACTATCTTGAACAACTCTTTTATTTTTTAAATATTTTTATAAAAATATTCCTCCAATATTAAATATCCTCTTAATATTCAAAGTTTATTTGCAAGAAATTGTTAATCAAGCCACTTTTGTATGACCAATAACTCCAAATCCCTAAATCTTAGGAGGTGTTGCATCTGGACATAATGCTTTACTTTTATGCTTCTAATTCACCAGTACTAGATCACATCAACTAGATATCTTAAATATCCATGCATTTATTCACCAAATAAAATTAAAATATAATTGTTACACATACAACACATAAGAGCTCTAAACTCATAAAGACAATTAATTACCAGCCATCCAATTGCTGAGCTTACCCAATCAATAAAGATGCGACATTATGGCCTCACTCCTCGAGTTGGTATGCAATCAATATTCTAAAGACTACAATTATAAATAGAAATGAGTCACTGTTTAGATGTACCTTCTAAGTACAAGTAATACAATTGGGGGGAATGCATGCTGAATGATAAAAGGTATGGTATAATCATAAAGCTTGTAATGGATATTAACATATAGAAGCCCATCTTTTGCTCTAGTTATTTTTAAAAGTTTCAATATAAATACAATTGTGTACTATATGATAAAGCCTATACACAATAACACTTTTTTTGATATGACATGACTAAAATCTAACTGTTGTATGACAAAAGCCATCGAGCCATACACATGTAAAGTCAATCCAACTCTTGTTGACATGCCATAAGAAATGAATATCAAAGAGCAAAATGATAAGCCCTAGCAAAGACTTGAAATGAGATTGGAAAGGTTAGCTAAGAATTATAGAGGCAAATGTAAATGCTAACTGCTAAAAAATTTAAAGGTATCCCAAAAGGTCCCTATATTAATCTTTCATAAAAGGGCATGGAACATAGAGATCAACTACTATCAAATTCACAACGAAACCACTTGTCGTTTTACCCTCGATGCTAATGAGGTTAAGTCTGTCAACCCACTTATAGAAATTTGTCAACTTCTCAAACCTTACGCTCATCAACCTTAAGCATGGCTCCATTAACCCCAAACATAGATCATTAGCCACTAGAGATATCCGAAGTTATAATAATCACCATAAAAAGTACCCAATGTTGAAGAAGCGATACCAATGAACGCAAAGCCCTCTATAATTGTTATGATTGAAGCTCATTAACCCACATACAATGATTGTCAACTCCTGAGATGTAGAACTATTGAACTCGAATATGACTTGACAACCACTAAAAATATCCTAAATGATCATCATCACCAACACATACTGTAGAAATGATAGCAACTCTCTCATTATATCAAGTGAGAAGATATTCAAGGTAAATTCATGACATCCAAACTTTGCCGTATAACCATAGCATTTCGAACAAATAGAATGCCATAAATCATATTACCAGAAAGGTTATTTTCTTTAAAGCATAAAATGTCAACTTGACTCTTATCAAAGAATTTTTTCCTTACCAACTATTAATTTCCATTTATATCGCTCAATCATAAGGAAAAAATATGATTTAAGTTTGATTTCAAATCATAGTACATGTTCCCAAGATCAAGCTTTACAATATTTTCTCACATACTTACTCTTTAGAAATATATAATTACGATTTTTGAATTGCCATCGCATAATTCTTACGATACATAGCTTATGAGAGTGATTTAGAGTTTCCTCAAAATGAATAACACTTAAAAAAGTAACCAACTGTCACGACCCGGCTCGGTTAGCTCGTAGATACGAGGCGAGAACGAGATCGGACACGAAATTTATTTCTCATCAACCATTCCATTCAATTTTAGCTAATCAAAATAGATACAACACCTCTACAACATTATCATAACACAAGTCTATCAAAAGAAATGTACAAGATGGCCATAAAAAAAATGTTTTCTTTCTACACAATTTCTGCATGCCATTCAAAATCTCAAAAATAACTACAACATCTACTACTACTAAAAACAGCAAAGGAACCTGTCACCCGGTAAGCGTCGTCTGTAAATAAACCTCGGGTGATCAGCCATCATCTAAGAGTCGGGTCTCCTGAAAATTTCCCAAAACTAAGGAATGAGCTACGCTCAGCAGAAAGTTCTAATCCTAAACATGCTCAGTTGACATAAAAAAATATTGATTTACTTGCTTTGAAAAGAAAGGGAACATGTGTTTAATGTCTCAGTTATGTCTTCATGAAAGGTATGTAAATGTCATGCATATGTCATAGCTATATCTCATGCATCTTCTTTTACTTATTAAATGTAATCAACCGTCCCGGAGTACCGTTTTGTACTGATCAGGTACACATCTTTTGGCCATTTATTTTCCTCAATTGCCCCAAGGGCCATCTGTGCCTTTGGCACCGTCTTTGGTACTCCGTATTCAATCATGCACAATCAATTCGATATTTGTTTCACATGACCATATAATCTTTCCTTGCAATGTTTGACATAAAGCTTTACACATGAATTTGAAGCATGAAAGAAACAAAATGCTATAAAAGGCTTTACAATACATCATGAAATAAGCATGAAATAACAATTGAACATGTAAGGAAAAGAATTCCTACCTCCAAAAATTTTGAATTCCTCCTCCCTTCCTCTTTAATTATGCTTCTTCTTCTTGCCACCACCTAAAGGAAAATAGTTTAACTTAAACCTTGCCAAAATAAAATTTCTAATTCGTTTAGAAGCTTCCTATAAACCTCCTACACCTATTCTTAAGGTATAACATCATCAACATCATCAACCTCTCACCAAACTTGATGTTTTTAATAATAAATTTCGGATTTAAATAAAATTAAATATTGGAAAAATAGTTTTCTCTCCAATTTTGACATTAGAGGCCTCTTGAAGCTCTTAGGAACCAATTAGGGAACTATGCAACCTATAAAAACCTAGGTTTGGAAAGAAACTAAACTTTCCCTAATTTTTATTTCATTCAATTTTCACTCAACCAGAAAAATCATAAATTTTTATATAAAAGAACTCCTTTAACTACCTAGTCATTGTGCTATAAACTTTCATCAAAATGTGGAAACCCTAACATTCATGAACCCAACCATTTAACTTAAATCTCAAATGTCTTTTTAACATAAAAGCTTCTCAGTATTAGAAATAACATTTGTGAAGACATTACAAGAAAAAATCACTTTTTAAGTAAAAACCTATATTTTCAAAACTCAATTAGAAATTTTGGTGAAGGAAAAATTGCAGCATTAGGGTTTAGAAAACATCTCTAACCTTGCCTAAACTTTCCTCAAAAGAATACCTCAAAGAAACTCAGTTTTTCTCAAACCCTATAAAATCTTCTCTTCCAAAAATCTTGAGAATGGAGAAGAGAAATTGATTTTAATGATACCTTTCACTTCCCTTAGTCTCCCTACGATTTTCCCCAAGGTTGGCCGCCGGAATCCGCCGCCGGAGCCGCCCGATCTCCCTTGCCCGTCGCCTCTACCCGTGCGCTCCCTCACGGTTTCTTCCGCTCAAACCGTGCGAATGGGGGAATGAGGGCTCGGTTAGTTCATTTAGGGAGAAAGGGGATATGCCAAAAGACTTCTATGCCCTCACTTAAACAACCCATGCATGAACAAACCTTAAGGGTATAATTGGCATTTCTAACTTTCCAAAATTCATAATTCTCAAAATACTCAAAATTAAATATAAGTTCTATATATGAAAACGACCAGAATTTTACGCTCTATTTTCTAAAATTATTCCCGTCGAAATATGACAACCTCAAAATTTTCACTTAAACCTCGTCGCGGCGCTTTGAAAAGCATGCGAGGTCTTAGACGGCATTTTCGGGTTTTACACCAACATTAGCATGGCATATAATGCATAATCATTAACTTATATAGCAGAGAAACATCATATTAGGCGCGGCTAGGGTTGGAGGGAAAGATTGAATTAAGTATTTGAATTTATGTATTAAATAGGAGTAGGTGTTTAGGGTTAGGGTTATTTGATAATTGGTGGCTGATTTGGTGTCTTGGGTTCTCGGCGTCTTGGGCCCTAGATTCGTCTAAGAATTGGGAGAGATTGATCCTCCTCTCAAATTGAGGATCAATTCTCTCTTTGTATTTTCTTCCGTTAGTTGATTATGGCTATTGTTATGTCTTTTCCATTGATTTGGTGGATTATTCTCACTGTTTTGCTTTTATTGTTAGGGTTTACTTGAAATCTTCAAGTATTTCCGAACAAATTGGTATCAAAGCAGATTTTGGGACCGTTTGTGCGCTGTTTTCTGAAAAATCAGCGGCTGCTTTCGGCCAGAGAAAGGAATTTGTGCTGTTTTTTTGTCAATATCAAGATTTTTTGAACCTACGAAAATTTTAGGTATTGATGGCGGCCAAGAAGGTAGATGTGTTGGAGAAACACCTTGAAGAGGAGATGAGCCAAATAAAAGCAACGATGGAAGATAGAATTTGATTCGGGAAAGACAAGGTTTTATCCGTGGAAGATAAGGTTTTCGATCTTCATGAGATGGTGAAGAAGATATTGGAGAATCAAATTCATACGGCGACATCGGAGGCAAACGGACCGGTGAGGAGAACGACGAATTCCGAATTTTGTAGGAGGGACAATGAGGTGGAAATCATGGAGGAGAGAGGTGGAAGGTATGAAGAAAGGCGTGCTTATGGGGGGTATGAATCAAGGGGTGCTGGTTGGGAAAGAAAATAGGGAGATTACAATATGACGGGTGCTAATTTAGAGGGGAGGAGAGGAGAAAGTGAAGAAGGGTTTGGGTACGAGCGGGGAAAGGAAGATCGGGAGACTTGGGAGAGCCAAGCACTTATGAAAGATGATATTATGGAGGAATACGGGGAAACGGGGGAGATCCAAAGGGAGGAAATTGAAGATGTCCATTTTTGAAGGTAAGGACGCACAAAGGTGAATCTACAAAGTGGAGAGGTATTTCACCATCAATGGGTTGACGGAGGAGGAAAAGTTGACAGCAACAGACTTATGTTTGGAGGGGAAGGCGTTATCCTAGTATCAGTGGAAGGATCAGAGGAGGTTCATACGGAGTTGGAGGGAATTCAAGGAATGTTTATTGGAACGATTCCAAATCGGCGGGGGAGGGGACTTCTATGAGCAGTTCTTTGCACTAGTATAGGATGGATAAGTGGCAGACTACCGTGAGAGGTTTAAATTAATAATATAAAATTTTGGGTCTTTACCCCTTATAAAATTGTCCTAAAAAATTGTGTAATTTAATGAAATTTTTTATCTTTACATAAACTTCTTTAAGTAATATTTTTTTTAATGTGAATGTGGCGTGAGTGCTGTGTGTGAGTGTGAGGGAGAGGGAGACAGAGCACATTAGCTAGAAAGTAATTCCAAAAATGTCACTTTAAACACTTAGTAAGTAGTATTCAATATGAATGAAAGCTTTGATGGAGCAATATTTTAGGAAAAGAGTTTAAAGAAAGAGTGGCAATACAGTACATAGCAGCTATAATAATTTTGTTATGAATAATATCTATCCATGTTGCTAAAATATAACCGCTAAAACTTATTCAGTGGTCCTTGTGACAACTTAAAACTTTAGAGAGATATTAAGAAGAGAGTTTAGAGCAATTGGTAATAGCGGCTAAAGAAAGGGAATGAGGGTGACATAAGTAATGGTGCTTGAGGAGTGGGAACAACAAAGAGAGATTGACGAAGAAATAGCTACTAGTTAATTTATGATGATCGACATATAATATGGTCATTTTAGGATAAAAGACTTTAGAATGGAGAAGTTTAAGTGAGTTAGTGTGTACGACGAAGATAACTCTTGAATATTGAGGTGTCTTTTGGTACAATGACTTAAGTTCTGTTAAAAACTTCAATGTTAAGCATGATCATATTAAAGCATTTCTATGATGTGTGATCACTTAAGAAATTGCACCAAGAGGGAAACCCTGAAAGGCTTGTCACACCGTAGCAAACAGTATAGTGTTTGTTTAGACTTTTGAGTTGATGCTATTACAAAAGGTATAAGAGCAGCACACTAATCAAAAGATGTGAATTAAGTACTGTCTGCAAGAGAAATGCTATGCTATTTTATTCAACTTTTGACCTATTATGGAGAGCCAAATAGGTAATTTTATTCACCTATTCTGGAGAGACAAGTAGGTAATTGCGATTTAGGGTAAATTTTTCCTAAGCCTTGTTTTACATAGGATTATGATATTTCAGACAAGTTTTTTGAAATTATTTCATATAAGTCCCCGTAGTGTGAGAAGTAATTCACAAAGTTACTTCCATTAACACCACCATTGATTAAAGGTGAAATCTCTCTCTCTCTCTCTCTTGATTTTCTGACATCATATGTTGATAAATTTCAAGCAGTCAGTTCATGAAGATATATATTTTTTTTTTCTGATAAAATGATCATGATGCGGATATGATTTGCAGGCTTTGCCAACCAGTATGTAGCCTGTATTTTAGCCACCATGTCCTCATCTTGATATTAACCATGGCTTCCACGATTTTCTCTTACCTGCATAACATATGGCCTTTCAGTTTACTGAAAGAAGACGATTTAAAAACCTCAATTCAGTTAGTCAATAGGCTTTCAGTACCAGAGCAGACAAAGCAATTTGTCTTTGCCATACGTGATTCAGATTCTGGTACAGTAGTGTATATTTTGGCTGCACAAAGTTTATCTGAACAGTCTGCTATAGATGCAGATCATCTTATCAAAGCAACTCAACCTGATGCTGTGGTGGTTTCTGTTGCTCCATCAGCTTTGCCAGAAATCGAAGTTGAGAAGAAATTGTTTGATGAGAGTCAAGTCAACCAAATTCCTACTTCATACTTAGGAGTGTTAAAAAGATGTGTACTTGATAAGGTAAAGAAGGAGGATTTTGATGTCTTTGCTGGTTTCCAGGTTGTACAAGCAATTTTTGGGATTGGATTTTATGGTCATTTTTTGGCTGCCAGGAGGGCTGCTGAGAAGTTTGATTCCCATTTCATCTTACTTGAATCCCCATTTGAGAGTTCATTGTCTATGAATACCTCAACCCATTCTGAAGACTCTGGAATACCTTTACGTGCAAATAATTTACTTCCCGGTAAGGTGATTTCTTCCATGTACTCGAGGAGAATCTGCATTGCTGACACAATTCAATCCAACGTGGTGAAGTCATTAGGTTCACCTCTTTCTTTACTGGATTCTACTTCAAATTCTGACTCTGATGTCCAAGAAGTTGAAGAAAGCATGCTGGGTAGTAATTATAATGTTCCACCATTTGCAGAGTCTTTTTACTCGTTACTGGCAGATCTTTATCATATATTTAGAGACATTCCAGCAATTAGTAAAGCATTATTTTCTGCAAAGAAAATGCTTGTTGATGTTAGCGAAGGGCAGCCAGTTGATACTGAGAATTTATCTGAAGTGCAAAACTTCAGAATTGCAATTGAAGGCCTAAGAATGGCTTTAAACAAAGCAGGCAGGAACCCCATTGATAAATCAGAGAAAGAAAATTTCAGGGCAAAGGAGTTCGCCGAGCTTCCGTTTGAAGAGAAATGCCATGCTCTCTTTACACAAGCTCTAAAGAGGCACGCTGAAAAGTTTGAAACAGTGGTGGCTATTGTTGATGCAACTAGCTTGGCTGGTCTCAGGAGACACTGGAACACATTGGTGCCTTCAGAATTATCAGATTTGGCTTATTGTAATAATGATCCTGATAATCTTGAAGCAATTTGGAGTGATCAGATTGACAAAAGGAGGATTCTAGCAGATAAGCCAATTGTTGCACTTGGTGCAGGAGCCACTGCAGTTGTGGGAGCCTCTTCTCTTTCAAAAGTTATTCCTGCTTCTCACCTAATCAAAGTAGCTACATTTCAATTGCCTGCTTCCTTGAAACTTGGCTTAATACAACTCCAAAGAACTGCTTCTGTTGGACTCAGCAAGATTCTTGTTCCGTCAAAGCTCTTAGCTCCTGGTCTTACCACAGGAACTAAATCATCTGCATTAAAGCTCACTGCATCTGCCAACGACATCCGCGCCGCGGTACATAGCATGATATCTACAGCTAGGCGGACTAGCTTTTTCGCCATTCGAACTTCGTTTTATGAGATAATGCAACGGAGACATGTTCGACCAACTAGATTTGCGCCTTGGGCGACCTTTGGCTGCAGCATGGGTGCGTGTGCCGGGCTTCTAATGTTCGGAGATGGGATAGAATGTGCTGTTGAATCCGTCCCTACTGTTCCTATGATTGCCTCTCTGGGCCGTGGCTTACAGAGCTTGCAACTGGCTTCTGAGGAAGTGAAGGGCACCAATTCTACGAAGATACATGAAGCCATTCAGTCTATGATGCACTATCTGAAGAAATTTTAAATTCTTTTAAGCAGAAGAGATTCCTTCTGGGATAGAGTTTCAACGGTTGAGTTTAGCACTTCACCTTGAAGATTGGGAGTGAGAGGATACAAGTGAAGGGAAAACTCCAAGCATACTTTGGCGTGCAATACTGCCATAAAGCAATGATAGCAGTCTTTGAGGTAAGGCAAAGCTCATCATCTTTCATTGATCAACTAATTATTCAATATCCTCTCCTCTAACTACAACATGCCTCATGGTCTTCATCATGTATAACTTCAACTTAATTTCAATATAGGATTCCTTTGGGACGGCTTTCTTACTGCTTTTGAAAATAGTTTTTTAGTTAAAAAATTGAAATTTTTGTATTAAAAAACTCTTTTAAGAAGTGAGAAAAAAGCCGTCCCAAACGAAACTATAGTTTCGTAGATGGTGGAATCAGGGTGAGGCAAGGTTGGATCTTACTTCTTACAACGTCTAAGATTGAGGAGAATTCACTTGTAATTATGAAAATATTATATTATAGAAATTTTATACTTTTAAAACTGGGGCAAGTTTTTTTATTTTCTCTCATTTAAAATCCTAACGTCACGATTACCTGATCCAGACTGATATGTAAGGAGGTTCAATTATTGGAGAGAAAAGCTAAACTTCATGCTATGTATGGATGGTGGGATTTGAGCGTTAAGGGGAATTTAAAATGAATTGAAAACCTCAAAGCAATAAAATTTGGCTTACAACTCCATACTTAAGATTCGTGTTTCTTTATTTGCATTCTAAAGCAACATAGGGACTGGATCTCTTAATACCGACGATCTGAAGTACTGTTGAAGTTTTTTATTTATAGATTTATTTAAGGGGTGTTTGGTTAGATGTAAAATGGGTGTAAAATAAAGTGAATGCATGAGTTTTGAAAAGTTTAGTGTTGGTTGCATAAAAAGAAATGCAGAGTATAGTAAATGTAGTGTAAAATAATTTAACTTATTTTTTAGGTAAACTGTTCTCACCTAATTTTAAACGAGAATCGTATACGTAACAAGCAAATTTGACCGTCATCCACCACCAGCCACGGATGCTACTTGCCGTTGGCCACCGCTCGTTAGTCATCATCATATTTAAACTTTACACTACAGTTATTTTATTTCAAATCAAATAAAAAAAATCATTCATGTGAATTTATTTTATACTCATCCAAATAACTTAAAAATATTATTTTTATATTATTGCTTTTATGTTGCATTCTTTTTTAGCCAATTACATACATGCTAGTATAGGTGTCAATTTCGGGTCACGGGTTCGGGTCGAACTCGTAACTAACTCATATTATTCAGGTCAGCTTGAACCCGACCTGTTTTTGTAAACAGGTCAGTTTTTCGGACCCGAACCTGACCCGTTTCGGGTTTGGGTAAACCCGACCTGACCTGCGGACACGTTAACGCTGGCAGTAGGGAGTCGGCAATAGTGGTGCTGTGGGAAGCAAAAGCGGGCCGGTGATTGACGATAGGACGAGGGGAGACGGGTCAGCGGTCAGAGGCGTCGGGTAAATTCGGGATGCGACGCGAGGCTTTGGGATGCGAGCAAGCTGGATGGGCAGCTTCGGTCAGTGCAGGTCAATCTCAGGTTTCCGGGTCAACCCGAACCTGACCCGATTTTTAAAACAGGTCAAAAATTTTAATCCGAATCCAAAATTTCCAAGTTGGGTCAGGCCAAATTTTTTGGTCGTGTCAAATTTTGACACCCCTACATGCTAGCCTGAAACTCTAGAGTGCCGAGGTATTATTTGCGCATAGACTAGCAAAGTTAATAGGAAACGTTCTCGCAGCTCAATTATACATATTTCTATGTTTAAAGGCTTGATTGCAATTGAGTGCCTATATCTTCTCATTTTCCGAAAATAATCAAATTGTCGAATAGATTTTTCAGTTAGAGCGAACCTCAAAATCATTAAATTTTATATTACGAACTTTAAGATATTTCATAATTAAAGATTTGATAAAAATCACAGGCTAATTTTAATCCCCGTACCCCGTCGCTGTTCTCCCTTTTCCTAGCAACTTCTGTAAGTGATTCGTTAATAATAGTCTAACACACGCATCAACGCTAAGAGGACCAAGTCTTCCAACTTGCAGCTTCAAAGAAGCTTAACCGCTTTAAATTATTGTGGAGAATATTCCACAAACGTTGAATTCGACCTTAACTTTCCCAAATAATTTTTTTTTTAAATTCACGCTTCAATGTCAACAAATCCAGTTTTGATAGTGCATTGTAAACGAATATTTTGTTTGAAATAATTTTCTTACTATTTTTTAGTATAAATATTTTTAATTAAAATAAATTTCAAATAAAATCTAAGGCTTGATTTGAGACGATTTTTTATTGCTTTATAAAACTATTTTTTAATAAAAAAACATCTTAAAAATTTAAAAAAAAAAAAATCTTAAAAGATTAATGCTGTCATAAAAAGCAATTTCATGATACAAAATTTTTCTTAAAAAAAACAAAACAACAATGACAATAAAAAATATAATTATGATTTGAAAAATAAAACAGAAAAAATACTGTCTCAAACAAAACCTAAGAGATCCTCGTAAAAATAAGAGTTAGCTTAACGAAGAAAATTGCAAACTCGGTTATTACTCGAGTAGTGAAGAGTTCAATAAAATAGCGTTACGTCCACGATCGCATTGCCCAAACCAATTGCAAGATAACACATCCTACCATCCAAGTAATTGAAAAAAATCTGATATATACAACTTGATTATAGCAAAAAGGTTTGAATAAACAGCAAATAAAACCAGCCTAAGCACACAATAATTTACCAGAATTTGTACATCGATGTTCTTTAAGCAGATCAACTAATCTTAAGGTGAATTAAGTATAGCCTGACTGAGCGTATGCCGTAGACAAACATGAAAGGAATACAAGCATCAAAGTGGCAGTCGCAGTGCGTCGGCGTTCAAAAGGATAGAGATTCACAGATTTTGGTCAGGGCTTATTTGGTTGCTCAGGCTTCGTTTGGGATGGCTTTCTTACTGCTTCGTAAAATTTCATTTTTTTGTGCTGAAAAACTGCTTTAAGTAGTCAAAAAGCCGTCCCAAACGAGATTAATTATTTTGTGCGGACACTGAATGCCATCCAGAGACCAACCATAATGCGCCACATCACCCCCTTGCTCGGTAGTGCTAACGTGGCACATTCTGGTTGGTCTCCAGACGGCGTTTTGCGTTTGGACTCGGCACAGAATAATTTCTCCCCAAACGAAGCCTTAGTTTGTTAAATTTATAGAAATCAAAATAGATTTCAAACACCACAAACCATCTCAACACCCACTTAAATATGATGATATTATTTTCACACTCAAAATAAATGAAAACAAAATCATCATTTTCTAAAACATATTTTCTATTTGCGAGCAACAAAATAAGCCCTTAGAATGATATACATGTGTAGCAAATTCAACTATGAAAAAGAATTCTCTAGTAACAAGCAGATAAGGGGAAGGAAGCTAAATGTGGTTATTGAACGACCAACACAAATGATATCCTTGAATCAAAGTGAGCCATTCACTGGGACCGATAGCTACTTCTTCAAACCTGTAATGTTTGAGAGAACAGCTCAAAAACCTGCTCAATAGCTAAACTTATTTAGATAAAACAATTCAAGATAATGATGTAAAGATTAAATGGAAAAATATGTAAAAGCATACCTTGAACAACTTTAAGAATTATGCACAGGGTCTGGAGTACTGAGTCCTTTACTAATGCTGATGTTATTTTTTTCAATCTCAAGCGGAAACCTTAAAACAAAGGTCATACATCATGTAACATTTTCATCATTGTCTGCAGTAGTTTTCCCAGACCGTTTTCTAAGTCTTTTAGCTTGAATCTGCTTCACACACTCAGAAATCACCACACTGAGCTTTGGAAAAGGTTTGTTGTAAGAGGATACATTAAATCCTGCTTTCTTCAAAGCTTGTGAAACTTGCCTCTGAGCCCTCTGAAAGTGGGCAGGGCATAGAGATGGGACTGCAGCTCTAAGGACGGGCTTGGCGCATATGTGAGGACCATTATTTGTGCTGCATATATTCATAATTACATTAAATAAAAAATAAGCAAGTGCTTTCCAAAAAAAAAAAAGAGAGAAGTAAATAATCATCATTATATTCAACTTTAAGTCAACTATTTAGGTCCAGCTCTATGAATTCTTAATCATTTTCAGTTCCTTTGGCCAATTACTTTCATTTAATAGATATTATCATATATCAAATTATCTCACATATAAAATAAGTCTTTTGTTCCCTTTGAGTTTCTTCTCCTAATTCCACCAATTAACCTATTGGTGCCTTTTCAACTATCCTCTATCCAAGACCAAATCACTTAATTCTATTCTTTACAATAATATCTTCGATAGATGCTACTCCCAACATCTATCTAATCCCTTCAGACTTGACCTTCTTAATTCTGCCTCAGAATCATCTGGTACTCATTTCTACCAAATACAAGTTACTTTTTTGAACCGCCACTTAGTGGTAGTTTACAACATAAACGTCTTTAGTATCACATTTACACCAAATCCTAGTCGTTTGAGACTTAAGAGAGAACACCCAGGTTCATTCGAATTGACCAATCTAAGAAACCATTGTTATCAAAATTACATCGAATCAATATGATACTGAACAATCGTGAAGGTCATGCAGATACTTCAATTTTAATTAACCAAATTCATCTTAATAAGTTACATTCTGTAATGTATCTATATGAATCTAACAATACAGAAACTAAAGTCATCAAATACCATAAATTCATCTTGTTTATCCATGTTGAAAGTTTTATTCATAATAATTTCTGACTTCGACTTTAAATCTGGCATTGTTATGTGTAGGAGTATCTCATAAAACCAGAGCAAAAGTTAGTATGTATTAAAAGGTCATTAAGTCCAAGTCAGGAAGGGTTGGGTTGCATAAAATAATCATATGAATCTCTAAAGTAAAAGAAGTTAAACTCTTGAACATCGAGGCGCCTTTTGATATAATGATCAGAATTTCATTAGGAAACTTTACAGTTAAGCATGCTCATCCAGAGAAATCTTGGGATTTGTGACCTCCTGGGAAGTTATATCAACATAACAAAAATATGAGGCCCTTAGGCCAAAGCGGACAATATCTTTATAGTTAAGAGTTTAGGCTATAACAAAAGGGATTAGGGCAATACACCAGCCGGAAGATGGGAACTAAGTGTCATACAAGACAAAGTGCTACGTCATGGGATCCACCTCTTGAACCTTGTATGGAACAAAGTGTTACGTGGCGGGAGTCACCACATGAACTTGTAGGGGCCACTTCTATAATCTTATATGCATGGTGGATGATTATGAGATAAATATGTTAACAAGGACACCCGTTAGTTAAGTGAGGGAAATTGTGAACAAGGACACCAGTTAGTTAAGTGAGGAAAATTGTGAACCCCTTAAGTAAAAGAAGTTAAATTCTTAAATATCGATGCGTCTTTCAATGTAATGGTCGAAAATTCATTAAGAAACTCCACAATTAAGTGTGCTCATCCCAGAGAAATCTTCAGATGGATGACCTACTGGGAAGTTATACCAATAGAACAAAACTATGAGGCCCTTAGACCAAAGTGGATAATACCTTGATAATTAAGAGTTTAGGCTATTACAAACCCCTTCAAAGATACTGCATTAGCAAGCACCTCACACACATGCACATTATAATTAGATTTATCCAATTTCAAACTACTCAATGTCCAATAGTTTCTCCATTTTTCTAGTTTTTCATCTGATTTAATTATTCACAACTCTTAAGATCTATCATCAACAAATTACATATTGTCATGATAGCAAACTTTAAACTCCTTGGAACCTTGGACATCCAATTATTTACATTTGTATAGAAACCATGGCAAGCATATTAGTAGCCTTTGTGATTGCAATTTCTCTTATGATTCCTTTACTTTAATGCCAATATGACAAGCGTTTGTCCCTAATATAAAGAATTTAAAAAGGAAGCAAAGAAGTGCCATAATTAAAGCTTAAGTACATAGCATCTAGAATGTGCTGAGACTCAACTTAATAGAACTAGAAAATTTTCATGTGAAAAAAAATCATAATTTATGAATGTAGAATTTAAAAAAACTTTTAATGATGGCTAAATTTTATGCGAACATAGAAACATATGAATAAATTGTAAACCAAATTGATCATTAAGTTGATGAAACAAATCCATATTCATTAAATGGAAATCACCAATGGAGCAATGTAAACCATATAACATATTCATTAGAAATACCCAATAAGATGCCACACAAAGCGAACTACACCAACATGTTCCTTAGGGTGGGATACCAAATCCTACACATCTCCATTTAATCCCAAGTGAGTTTAAAAACCTTGAACATGACATCTTTGCTAGGAGCATTCATTGTGTCAAACCATAGAAGACCTAATATGAGAAGAAATAAGGATATATTTAATGGGATATGATGTTCCAAACCAAAAAAATAAGTAATAAAAATTTATTAAGGCTATATAGTCAGTGTTTAAATAAAACTTGTGAAGGATAAGCTAACAGCTTAAATGGTTCTAATAAGAAGGATATGAACCATGGGGATAAAGACCTCTACAAATAAATAACTATGGACAACAGCTTAAATGGTTCTAATGTCAACAGAACATGAATTATGGGACATGAGAGCTCAAATACAAATAACTGACTATGGAACTTCAACTTCAAATCAAATTTAATTAGCCATAGTTACATGAGAAGAAAAAAATTTAAAGTAAAAAAATAAACTTCAATACTATACACTTAAGAAAATACAAAAGTACATATGTTTTTCAAATAAGGGCTTGATCTTAACTTTGGGAAGTGGTTTATAAAAGCCTAAAATGCACAAATTCAACTCTATATGTTCACATTCATGAATGATCATGTGCCATCAGCTGCACTGGAGCAGTTTTCTCCCAACTATCATTGGCAAACCCACTATGTAGCAAAAGCAGTCCAACATCATCACTTGACCACTATCACTCCAAGAATAGAATAAGAAAAAAAAAGACCATTCTCTATAACAAGAAACAAGATGAATCGAATTTATTCAAAATCATTCCCAGAGGTAAAACAAAAGTGGAAAACAAATGAGAAAGTAGAAGCTCCTTTTGCACCTTTTTTTTAATTAATCCTAAAATTGCCTAAGTAGCTCCTTTTCCACCTACTTCTTTCTAAACTCTTTAATTCCTAGCTTCATCAAATTGATTCCTATTGGAACTAGAATCATTTTGCACCCTTCAATGAATAGTCCGTATGATAGTACAAGTTTTTGTTTCACACGGTTCTTACAAAAGACGGAGATATCACAAGGCTCGTCATTGACAGCCAAACAAACTCCACATTCCAACCACTCAACCAATCAAAAGTAATTTGAGACTAAAACTGAAAAAACAACAAAACTACAACCGAGAAAGACACATTAGAAAGCCTTTGGATGGAGGGGTAAAGCTCTGTAGGAAATAACCACAATATACTTCCATATTTAAATTTTAAGTGCGGGTGCCATACGTAATATGGCCCGAATCAAATCTACGAATAAGTCTATGAAAAGCAGAGAAATCAAACCAATTCCATCTCCAAAAGCAAGAAAAAATATTTTCTCATTACCTACACCATCACATAACAATTGGAGTACAAGAAGTAAAAATAAATTAGAATCATATTGAAACCAAATAAACCAGAATTAAGCACAAATTAACAAAGAGAAGGCAAAAAAATAGAAAGAAATATACATTTGAAAGAGGAAATTAACAAGCGCAACCTGTCTACATAGATGCAAACAGAGTAAGTTCCCAGGACACGGCTGCGTAAGAGAAAAAGAACAAGAAACAGGAAAATATAGAAAATCATATAAAAAACGCATTTTTACCTCTTAATAACATGATTGCAAGGCTTGTAGAGCGTCTGCTTGGTATCAAAGAGAATGTGAGGATGACAATAGCTAGTCAGCGGCATAGCCTTCGACTTGCACCCAATGTAAGCGCATCGCTTTCTCTCACCCCTGGAATAACTGCCATTTTCCCCTTCCGGATGCCCTAGTCCCGCTTCCCCAACTACCACCCCAGGTCCACTTGCAGCGTTGTCCTCCTCGACCGGACTCTTCCCAAACTCCCAATAATAATCCCTATGCTTGACCCTAATCTCCTCCATAAGCGCCCAATAATGCTTACGATAGCACCGATACAACTGCTTCAGTCGCCGAGAGCGGCGGCGGAGGACCTCCTCCCGTGAAAGGAACTCCGCGCCAGCAAGCGCATCGTCCTCCTCCGCTCCATCGATCGACATGGCCGTAGATCCAGCGTCAGCTCCGCCGGTAAAGCCCGGCAAGGCGATGTCGGGGTCGTGTTTAAGGTTGGGGTTAGGGTTTGCAGTAGTTTCTCCGCAGGGGTTTGAAGGGGAAAGAGACGAGACGACGATTTCTCTCCTAATTGGCTTCGAAGGAGGTTTGCTTCCGCTCGCTGAACCCATGCCACTGTCTTCTTTCCCTGCTGTAGAACACAGGTGGAGACAGAAAAAGCAACGGGTAGAGACAGCCGGTAGAGTCCGCCTTATATGGTGGTGGAGAGAGCACGTCTGAACCGGTATAATACAGCTGAAATTTCGTGACAGAATTTCCACATTCACAAATCAGTTATTACGAAATTAAAGGAAAAAGTAGCGTGTTTATATTATTTATAATAAATTTTAAGATAATTATTTACTAACATAATATTATTAGTCTTTATTGGGAAATCTCAATTATCTTAGGATTTTATATAGTATTAATAAAAAAAATGAATTTTTAATATAAAATGTTATTTAGGTATTAGTTTATTTAATTAGATGACATTATTATTTAAATTATTTTTAAATTGTTGCGGGCTGATAAATTTGCAGATATAGAGAGAATATTTTACGTCTGAGCGGTAAACGAAACCTCAGCATGCAACATTTTGGCGTCGTCTGTGGGAAATATTCTCAACTTTTTTTCAATGGTCGATCGAAGTGATACTAATAACATACTCTTGTTCCAACACTAATCGAACTAGATTCCCATATGACAATAATGGACGTCATAATTACTCAAGAGAATAACCTATTTCTTTAAAAACTCGAATTTAAAGGATGGATGAACAACAAGCAAGAATTTTAAAATTACTAGAAGAAGTTGGTTAACTGAGGGAACCAACGCAAAACGAAGAAATTCCTTCTCCACAATATCATCAACACAATATTGATAGATAATTTGAAGATGCTCATCCTCATGCTAATGTTCCTCTTCCTCCACAGTTTGATCTAGAGATAGATGATGCTGCAAGTTCAACCTCCATCGAAAATGAATCAAATGAGAAATCTTCAACTCGTGGGGTATACCCCTCGAGATGTTATATAAGATAAGTTGCGACGTCTTATCCAAGAAGAATTCCTGATAAGGGATAATAAAAAATCCAATCTCGAATGCAGTTTTCAACAATCATCTCCTAACATACAAGATTTCCTACACCTTATTCCAATAGGGCTCAAGTTACCAACCATTGATCCTTACTATGGATCATCTGATCATTATGAGCACATTGATCATTATAGAACAATCATGCACATACATAGTGCTTCCGATGCGTTTTTTCGTCAAGTTGTTTTGCCACCCTAAAGGGTCAAGCTTGCACTTGGTTCTACGCACTCCCTAGAAACACAATCCACTATTTCACTCATCTTGCGAGGTTTTTTGTTGAACATTTCATTGTCAATTGAAGAATTATTAAAGATTCATCACATCTCTCTTGAATCAATCAAAATGAAGGATAATCTTTGAAGGATTATTTTTGAAAATTTTCTTTTGAAGCTCAACAAATTCAAAGAGTAGATTATGAGTTACTAATAGGTGTTTTTCTTGGAGGACTACGCCCCGGACCATTCTACTCTTCATTAATACGAGAAATCGTTCATTCTTATGCCCACTTAATTCACAGAGTAGAAGCTCAAATTATTGTTGATGAGACTATCAATGCTCACCAAAAATAATTTGAGTAACCATCGAATAAAAGAAAGATTGAACACGAGGGTGAAGCCCAAAAATCTCAAAACAGAAATCAGGAACATCCATTTGACCCTTGAGCAAGACCATGAAAATATGACAAATAAGGAATATACTCCATTGAATTAACATATTCTCTTGGCTAAACAAAATGAAAGAATTGTTAAAATGGCCTAATCCACTGAAGCCAAACACTGGTAATCATGATTATTATTATCATTTTCATCGAAGCCGGGGACATACTACTGAAGCTTGCATACACTAAAAAGAAGAAATTGAAAGATTAATTCAATAAGGATATCTTCATCAATTCACTGAAAATCCACCAACTCGAAATGAAATTAATCCAACTACGGGGCATAATCAACAACAACAATAACGGCAACATCAAGCTAACCATTAAATAATTAGAGAAAATGAAACCATTGTTGGAGGACCCCTATTTTCTTCTCGGGTTCTCCTCACTACCCTAGAGGAGCCAACATTGAGGAAGACTCGATCTGATCATTCCATCATATTCAAAAAAATTTAACCTGGAAGGAATCCATACTCCATACCAAGATCCGCTTGTTATTAGCACCGGTACTAGATATCCATGTTATAACATTAAAATAATCTTAATTGATATTTGGAGCTTAGTAGATGTTTTACTTTACTAAACTTTTCTTAGTATGGGTCTAGTTAAAGAGAAACTTTAGCTTGCTGCTAGACCGTTGTATGGATTTGACAATTATCCTGTATATATGGAGGGGATAATTACTCTCTATCACACATGAAGAATTCCCTCAGTAGGCTACTCACTCAGTTCAATTATTTTTTGTTAAATTAGAATCAACGTACAATGTCATATTTTGAGAGACCCTTGCAATTAATCTTTGGAGCTTTACTTTTGTGCCCCATCTAAAAATAAAATTTTTTAACTCCAGTTGAGATTGTCAAAGTATGAAGAAATTAATAAGTTGCTCAAAGTTGCTACCTTAGACTAGCTCAACCACGCCCATCTGTCACCCTACATATTAAAAGTTCTAATTCCAGAATAAAGATATCCTTCAAAGGGCCTCTCTTTTGGAAGACCTTTGGAAGCCTGGAACGTGGACTAAAAATCAAGTGAGTTATAAGGCTTAATAAGAATCTCAAAGCTCCATCTCGACACCATCGCTGGTATTCACAAATAATCAGTAGTTGCTATTAAAGCTATTTACTATATAGCCTATATGCTTTCTGAATTGATTACTATGTAGCCCTCGTATCTCTAAGTTGTATTATAGAATCATTGTATTATCTTCTTTAATATAGTAAGATTTTGTTTGCCCATTACTGATATTATCTTTTTTTTCCAAGCAAGATCATAACGATGACCCTAAACAATCTATGATTTCTATCATTTTATCTTTGATTTTAGAAATATATAATATTTATTATATCTCAATTACTGGATGATCAATCCTAGGAGGATTCAATCTGACTTCTTCCACAGAGGTTAACATTATCGAGCAACTCTCTGACAAACAACCTTAGATAGGCCACATCCTTGGTGGATTCGATCTTACCTCTTACACACACAGGTTAACATCATCGAGCAAAGCTCTAACGAATAACCTCAGATATGTTAAATATTCTTGGTGAATTCTCTCGGCCTCTTATATGTAGGTTAACGTCATCGAGAAATACTCTGACAAATAACCTTGGATAGGTCAAACATCCTTAGTGGATTCTCTAGGCCTATTCTAAGCATGTTAACATCATCGAGTAAGGCTCTGATAAACAACCTTAGATAAGTCAAACATCCCTTATGGAATTTTCTAACGTTTTCAATTTAAATTAACAACATTGAGTAATATTCAATAAAATGTAGCTCAATGATGTTAACATGTGTACAATAAGCCTCCATAAGGGAAAGTTTTGTGCACCCATGAGTTAGCTTAGAAGGAAAATTTGTAGCAAATAAGGTCCTTACTAAAAATATACCATAAGTAAAAAGGGTTTACAGAATCACCATTCATTTAAAAATCTCATAAGGCTAAAAGCATCGAAGGATATATATTTCTTATAATCATCAAAATTAAATGCTACACAAGGAATAAATAACTCTAATCAAGTTATTGTGGAGAAAATTCATAAGCAAAAGAAATTCTTACATGAATATGAGGTCTTTCTTACATCAAAAGCAAACATAAAACTCATATGAATGTCTCAAAACTATATACAATAAGTATATTGCTTGACTATGATAATCAACATAGTGTCTGGACCCAACATCAAGATAATTATTATCTACCCCATCAACATACATACCTATTATCTTCAATAAAATGTAGCTCGACTATCATCATATGTGTGCCAATGCTTGAATATCACCTAATCACCTATGTTGCTTAACTCCATACATTAAATGATTGACTTATGATCATCAAATCTCTTACCAATCATTAAACATCACCAGACTTCCACAAGATTTTTGAATGTCATCAAATCTCTTCCTAACAACCCCTCATTATTAAGCCTCCATTCTGCCGTCGACACAAATGTTATTTAATATACCAATACAAGAGAAAGTTTAGACCAACACAATAAAATCATATTTTGTTAGCCACCAACGACCACCAATATACGCATCTGGTACTAAATAACCAAGTCTTTACTAGAAAATGACAATTCTGTAACTCCTTCAGGACAACCTTTGATGAAGATAGGAGCCCACATTGGAGGATTGGGCCTTTATCATTATTGATGGTCATGCGACTCCTTCAGGAAAACCTTCCATGAAGACCAGGGCCCACATCAGAGGATTAGGCCTTTATTATTATTGATGATCTTGTGACTTCTTCAGGATAGCCTTACAACGAAGACCGGAGCCCACATCAGAGGACTGGACCTTTATCATTATTAACGATCTTACAACTCATACATGACAATCTTTAGACGAAGATAAAAACCTACTACGGAAGACCGGGCCTTTACCAGAGATTGACGACATTGCGACTCCTACATGACAATCTTTAGAGGAAGATAAGAACATGCTACGAAGGGCTGAGCATTTACTACAGATTGAAAGTCTTGTGACTTCTACAGGACAATCTTTAGAGGAAGATATCAATCTTCTACGGAGGACCATTCATTTACCATATATTATTAACGATCTTCGACTCCTACAGGGTAGTCTTGAGATGAAGACTAGAGTCCACACCAGAGGATCGAGCCTTTTTCAATTTTGACGGCCTCCAAATTTTTGGCAATTCATTTTTGTTTTAATTTACAAGAGAAATTTTGGATCGGCTCAGAAGAACCGTGATTTTTCCTCACCCCTAAGAGGAATATTTATAGGCTTATGTATGAGAGAATTCAAAAGGTCTTTTCGGAAATTTCCATTACTTTTTTAAAAAAGAAAATTTAATATTTTTTGGAATTTTAAAAGTCAAAAAATCAAATTTTCTATTACAAAAATATATATTAATAATATAAAATTAATATTTATTAAAATTAAGACAACACTAGGGAAGATGAAAAATTATTTCAGAATTTTCTAGCATGCTTTTAAGAATTTTTAGGAATTTCTTAGAATTTTTAAATGATTTTTGGAATTTAAAAGTTATAAACTCT